TCATGGATATTAAGGCTGGTGGGTAGGTAGGGCAAGGGACAGGACATTGGCATAATCTCAGAATACCTCCCTACAAAATATTTATCAAGTATAAAGGAAACAATGGTGATTTTATGGTGGAGAAAACCACTTGACCAGATGAGCAAAATTTTCATCACAATAATGTGAAGAGTTAACATCATGAACACTTGATGAGATGCCCAGAGACCCCAGCCTCATTTCTGTGGCTTTTCTTGTCAAAATGTATGACCTGAGTCTAGTCATAAGGAACACTGCATAGACCCAGTTGACGATCATCCTACAGAATGAGAGGCCTGTTCTTTTTAGTAGTGTCAAGATCACTAAAAACAAAACAAAACACACACACACACACACACACACACACACACACACACACAGAAAAAACAAGAAAAGACTGAGGCATTGTACCCAAATCAAAGAGACTGAGAATGTATGTATTAAATTCAGCGTAACTTCCTGGTTGGGATTCTGGACCAGAAAAGGAAAAGAGACATCGTTGGTAACAGAGAGTACAATTTTAATAGGGCCTGTATTGTATCAGTGTTGATCTCCGGATGTAATGGAGGTTATCTGGTGGTTATGAAGGAGAGTGTCTTTGCTTTATAGACATTCACACTGGATATTTAGGGATGATAGGAGTCAAGTCTATAGTTTTCTATCAGATTGTTCATAAAAAGACTAAACAAGAACAAAACCATGTATATAGATACATAGAGAGCAAAAACAGATGTGGTAATTTATTAACAATTAGGGAATTTGTGAGAGAGGAATATAGAAGTTCTTGCAACTTTTCTATAATCTGAAAGTATTTCAAAATAGATAGGCAAAAATGCATATTCAAATTTAAAACAAACATGAAAACACATGTTTACACAAAAATGTGTTTAGAAATATTCATTGCAGCATTACCTGTAATAGCCAAAAAATGAAATCAATCAAGCATTCATCAATTGGAGTGGATAAACAAAATGCTGTATATCCATATGATGTAATGTTATTGGGCAACAAAAAGGAAGTAAGTGTTGATCCATACTACAACGTAGATGAATCTTGCAAACAGTATGCTCAGTGAAAGCAACCAGTCGCAAAAGACCACTAGTTGTATGATTCCATTTACCTGAAATGTCCAGAAGAAGAAGATTCACAGAGACAGAAAGTAGATTCGTTGTTGCCAGGGTTTGAAGAGAGGGGGGAATGGGAAGTAACTGCTAATACACCTGGGGTTTCTTTGGGGCTGATGAGAATGTTCTAATCGTGATTGCGGTGCTGGTTGCACAACTCTGTAAATATACTAAAAACCACTGACAGGTAAATTTTATAGTATGTGAAATATATCTCAATACAACTTAAAAAAATGTCACTTACACACATAAAGTCATAAAGTTTGCTGGCTACACAGGCAGACTGAAAAGAGAGGAACTTGGAAAGTCTTACTAAAGCACGAAGAGCCCCTACAGAAGCAGTTCTACCAAGTGTCCCAGTTTCCCTTCTGTCTGCTGGGTTTTGTCTCTCACTCTAGGTCCCTGCAGCACAGGAAGCAAAATAATGCAAAGAATTAAAAAGCCGGCTCTGCAGCCAGACTGCCTGGATTTTTTTTTTTTTTTAAGATTTTATTTATGTATTTGAGAGAGAGAGAGACCAAGAGAGCGAGGGAGTGAGCATGAGCAGGGGGAGGGGCAGAGAGAGAAGCAGACTCCCTGCTAAGCAGGGAGCCAGACTTGGGGCTCGATCCCAGGACCCTGGGATCATGACTCGAGCTGAAGGCAGACACTTAAGTGACTGAGCCACCCAGACTGCCTGGGTGTGAAGCCAAATCATAGTTAGGCATAACCTATAGTTAGGCAAATTAGCCGCTCATGCTCGGTTATCAAATGGGGATGCTTGACTGGGTTGTTGTAAGGAATAGAAGACATAATCCATGAAAAGTGGTTTTAAAAGTGTCACTTACTGGAATTCATGAGAAGTTGACCATGTTTTTTAACAGGTCTCCCAACAGGAGACTTCTTTCTTGAAAAGGCTCCAATCCATTTCATCCTCCCATTTCTCTGATGTCCTTTCCCATATGATATGCCATCTCCAACTAATCAGATGCAAGCTTGATATCATCCTGACCAACCAGTCCTATGGTTCACAGAGGCTACCCCCACTCTCTGATTGTCATTTTCTGTGCTCCGTGTTTCCCTGTCATCTGCCTATTGCAAGAACTATAGAACATGACTCAGAGAATGTTGTTTTCAAAGGCCAAGGTCATTGCTGTTATTTCTTCACGCTGTTACATATTCATCCCAAACTGTACAAGCATCATGGTTTCCTGTCACTCTGCAGTCAGGACAAGCAGATGGGAGCCGCATCATGAAAACTGATGGTCATTTCATGCTAACAATGTGACAGCCACTGTCCATGATTGTTTCATTTCATCTTCACACAATCTACATCTTATAGACTCTTATCTTCTTTGTCACATGAGGAAACTGATGACCAGGAAAGTTAATTTGTCAAGGCCACACAGGTTCTAAGGGATGGAATGAAGATTCTAATCAATCTCTCTGTGTCTTCAGATTCTCCTCTCTTAGCCATTGTGTTGTAATGCTCAATCCTCCCCAGAATATGAAAGAACTTCCACCTAAGATCCTATCCCAGGGTAGCCAAAAGAGCGAGAGGTCAGAAATTATGTCTTAGATATCTATGTGTCCTAGGTGCCTAGGACCACCTGACATATGACAGGAGGTCAACATTTTTGTCAAACTGCTCAACTGTGCAATGGAACATAACCTCTCACATGGAATTAAGTGAATTCTCTGCGTGTGGTGTCCTGCTTCTACTTGTAGAACAATTAGAGGGTTTTGGAGTCAGAGAGATCTTAGGATTCTGATTTTGCCATTTGGTAACTTTGTGGCTTTGGACAAAGTCATTTAACTCCTCTGAGTCTTGAATCTCTAATCCGGAAAATATAAAAAATAGGTAAAAATCATACCAGCTTTTTGGCATTGTTATTCAGATGGAATGAAATAAAATTGCCATGTTAGACAAATAGTAAATACTCAGTAAATGATAATTACTTCTATTGTTCCCTCATCCTTTCTTACAAATAAGCCTTTGTGAGAGGTCAACTGTATATTGGTTCCCAACTTAAAATAAGTAAAGCAATAATTGCAATTCAAAGTGGAGTAATGGAAATAACAATGAATTGGGAACTGGGAAATCTGGCTGCTGGCTTTTATTGTCCTCTTTCTACTGAGCAGCTATGCAACTTTGGTCAAGTCACTTTACTTGTCTGGGCTTGTAATTCCATACTTCAAATTAGAGTCAATCTCTGAAGTCTCTAGGATCCTTTTAATCTACATGTCTGAGACTTTAAGAGATTATATTGAGGAAGTATTACCTTTGGCTTGATCATTTCAAGAAGATTATATGGGTATTGGAAAGCACAATCATTAACTCATTTTAAAGTTACATGTCATTCATTTATTTGAAACTTTATGAAGCATAGTTCCTGCAAAAACCATAGAAAATTGGTTAAAAGCTGCAAGACTCAAACCTACCACCTAGCGGCAAAGAAAAGAAGATTCAGATTGAAGAGAGAAAATGTCCTGCCATTACAAGTGGCGGGTGGGTGTCCTCAGCGATCCTTCATTTCACGTTTGTCCTTTCCCCTCACTACTCAGGATAGTTTTGTGTACACAGAAATTCAGTACCTCCTGACTTAATAGTTTGTTCATTTGACAGTTCTCTTTAGCAGGTGAAATATGGTGGACTTCTGAGAATTGTGGAATAATCATCGGTGTTAGATTTGGGGAGTAAAGGTGCCTTCCTACTTGTACATTTCAAACCAGTTCTACCCAAGAGGCCCACCTAGTCCATCTCTGGATGGACTAGTCCATATCTATCTCTGGATAAAGAGGGCATTCCACAAGTGCCTGGTTGAGAGACTAGGGCCTCTACTTTGAAAAGACAGAAATCAATACACCAATGGAATTCTTGCCTGCCAAGTATTTAGTGACTTTGTTTTACCTACTACAGTAATTAAGATTAAGTCTTCACATTTAAATTCAAATATCTAAAAGCAGGAATGCACCGTCCTTAAACTTAAACCCCAAATGTGAGGAAGAGGCCAGAACCCCAGGGTACTAAAGAGGGATCTATTTTCCATTTATTCTTCACTCCCCCTGCCCCCCCCTTTCTCTTTTCGTTCCATTTTCTTTTTTCTTTCCCTCCCAAATAGCAGTCAGGCAATTAAGCTCAGAATAATGTTTAAACGGGTACAGGTAGTGCCCTACGTACGCAGGGTGATTTAATTACCCAGGTTTTCACCTGAATCACTGAAAATATTTCTCGAGTCTTTCCTGAAATATGGAATTACGCCATTTTCCAACACTCTTTAAGTATCGTTAACCTAGCCTTCTTTTGAAATGCCATTCTCACTTTAGCACAATTTTCTTAAATCTCTTACTACACAAACAGGAGGGGTTCCGAATGTGCCACCTTGAGAATTTCGCCTATGATCAGCCTTGTTGGTAGAAACCTGGTAGTTTTCATTTAAAACGCCTGATTCAATTTTTACTGGGTTTACGGACGTTGACCAAGTCTTCCCATTACTTAATAAACTACAGCCTACCCGGTTTTTAAAACTTTGGGGCTTAGTGCCTCCACGGGCATCCGGATATTGAACTCTGCTTCTTAAACAGTCTCCTGAAAGCAGCAGGTTCGGCTGAGTTCAGAGAAGCCGTTACCACGGAACTCCCAACAATTGGTGGGGGGCGATACGTAGGATAGAAGTGATAAATGGGGCTAGTTTAAGACACAAAAAGTCCCGGGAAGGGAGAGAAAGGGGCAGCGGTGGCCTTGGGACACAGAGTGAAGGCGGCGCAGGATCGGGGGTCCAGGCGAGCTCCTGCCCCGCGAAGGCGCCTTCCCGCGTGGCCAGAGCTGGCGGCGGCCGCGGACGAGAAACGTGGAGACCGCGGTTGAGCGGCCTCTCGATGCCGAGCGCCGAGCCGGCGCACGCCCAGGCAGCCCCCGGGATCACGCCGGGGCCACCGCGAGGTGAGGCCGGCCCTGCCCCCGCGCCGCCCCCGGCGGGAGGTGCGACGCCCAGGCCGCGGGTGCGTGCGCGGCCCCGGGCGACGCGGCTGGGCGTGCGCGGGGCCGCGGAGGAGGCAGGGCCGGGCGGGCGGCAGAAGATGGCGAGGGTGTGTAGGCGGCAGCAATGCTCCGTTGAGAGACGCGGCTTTCGGCAAGAACTGGACTCGTGGCGCCACAAGCTCATTCACTGTGTAGGTGAGACCCTCCCCCGGCCGCTTCCGGCCCTCGGGCCGCCCCGCCACCGCCTGCCCCGGACAAGGGAGGGAGCCGGGGCAGAGGCAATTGCTGCTCCGGCCCGCCCGCCCTCTTTGGCTCGGGCGTCCCCCTCCCCCACCCCCTGGAGTGCGGGCGCGCGCAACCTCCGGGCGGGCTCTCCCCGGTCAGGCCTGAGCACGCGCGTCGGCCCCTCCCCTCCGCGCGCCTTCCCCGGGGCGGGCTCTCGGGCGGGAGCGCGTGCCCCTTCCTTCCCCCGCTTCTCCACTCCCCACCAGCCCGGCGGCCCGGCGTCGCCGCCGGCTTATTGTGGAGACTCGCCCCGCGGTGCTGCCACTTGACCGGGGGCGCCGCCTCCGGTTCCGGGGAGCTGGGGGCGGGAGTGGGGGGACCTGCTCAGCCCCTTCTGCACGGAGCCTTTCCCCTCCCGCGCCTCCCCTCCCCCACGCTCGGCGACGCGCGCCACAATCCCCGCGTGCACGCGCGGCGGCGGGCGGGCGGACGCCCGGCGCTCGGGCGTGTGCGAGGCGTGAGGTGGAGATGGGGGCGGAGGGAGCCGGAGCTGTCACAGGCCCCGGGTCCGCCTGACCGAGCCAAGTAGGGTGTCATGGCCGCGGGGGGCAGCGGCTGCACTTCCTCTGCTGGCGGCGGCAGCGGCGGCCGGGGAGTTAATTCTCGACGCTCGGGTCGGTGTGTGCGTATTTGTGTTCGGTGTGTGCGCGGCGGGGAGGATGGAGGGTGGAACTGGGTCCGACCGAGAAACCGGAGCGGGGGGTCCCTCTTGTCCCCTCTCGGGGGATTTGTCGGAGCCGCCGCCTCGTCGAGAGCCTCGACCCCCCCCCGCCCCCAATCCTCCCAGCCTACGGGGCCTCGGGTGGCTTTTTCCCCACGGGCAGAAGGGAGTGTGGACGGGGGCGCCCCGGGAGGGGCCGGGCGGCCGAGCTGCGCCTCTCACACTGTGTGTTTTGTCTGTTTTTCTCTCCCAAGGTCCCGTTTCCCTCTGTGCGGCGGCCGGCGGGACCATAAGGGCTTAACTCATATATTTAACCCCCCTCCAAAAAGTAAGTGGCCCGTGTGGTGTCTCCGCTCCGCCCGCCGCCCCCTAGCCCCAGTCCATCCTTGTGTCTGACTCTCCTGTCCTCCAGCATTGTTATTTCCCCATCTTTGCTTCGGTGCTGCTGCTCTGTGGGGAAATGCTTTCTCCTGCTCCTCTGTCCCCAGGCCCAGTCTTGGGGAGGCGTAGAATTCCAGCCCCTTTCCCCCTTCCGTCCCCCCCCCCCCCGTAGGGAATATTCTTGGGAACCAGGTCTTCCCCAGCAGAATCTAGGAGATTCTATCCCTACGCTTGGGCCCCTCATCCCCTCCTTCCCGACAGGGTTTCGTTGGAAGGAATTATGCAAATCCTGCTTTCTGGTGTCCATTCAGCGGCAATTTCATGCGGTGAGAAGTTCTCTTTGTTGTGCGAGGGGGAGAACAGACACTGATTTAATAGACATATCTGTTGGGGGGAAGGGTGGAGGGGGTGTGGAGAGGCTCAGTTTGGAAGAATTACAGCACTTGGTTAGCTCTGTGTCTTTGTGTTTGAGCTTTCTGGCTTGACAGGAGGGTATGCCCTTTACAATGTCCCACAAGAGATGTCTTCTGTAATAGATTAAAAAGCAAAACTGAAACTTTAAGTAAGTGAAACATAAGGTAACCTTTACCTAGAGAATATAAGCCTTTCCATTTTTGCAGTGTTTCATTTTGAAAATATATGTGAATTTTGTTAAGGATTAAGACTGTAACATCAAAATTAACATAGACAACAATGCTTTAAGGTATCTGGTATCATTTTGGTTGTCCACAGGTTAAAAGTACATTTTTAAAACGTGCTTGTGTAAGTAATAAAGGCATGAAACAATTTTTGGTGTAAGTTGACTTGTGGATAAATTTTAAAATTTCCCTCCTGCCAATCCAAGCTCAGCTCTGCCTTCCAGAAAGCCTTTTGGCTGTCAGTTATCATTTACTCTGTCTCAGCTTGTATTTTTTTCAAATCTACCCTACATTTGCTAAAATGTTACATCAGATTAAGCTCTTTTTGAATTATTAGTTGTAACCATCATACGAAAGAGTTTATGAAGGTGTGCAGGTTTTGCACAGTGTGAAATTAATGAGTTTTCAGAATTAAGATTATAAAATCCTGAAATTTGAAGAATTTTTAGTTCTTGTATTTGGTTCACTTTTTTTTGAGATTGTTTTTTTTGGTAGGGCTTTTTAGTTTTTAAAAGGTTTTGAAATTGACTGTAACCCTGTAGGTTTGGAAAGTTGCTCTTACTTTAGTTCAGATGGTTTTAATGAGTTGTTTATCTTATTCTATTTCTGTTTGCTTTGAATCCTTGCCTTCTGCCTCAGGCCCCCTTTTTATCAGTCATTGCTAGTGTTAGTAGTAACTTAGTGCTGCTTGACAAGGTGGTGGTTCCCCCCCCCTTTCCCTTGATGACTAACAGAATTCTGTAAATAACTGAATTGAATATCAAATTTTGATTCGTTTTATGAAGGGGGATTTTAATCTGGTTATCAGTTTCTTTAGAGTACTTTTAACTCCAAATTTCAACTTTGAAGGTAGGAAGTTCAGGAAATCTAGAGTGCAGATCAGTAATACATAGTAATTGATAGTCTTGCAGCTAAAATCAATTTGGTTTCCTATTTTCTCTTTTGTTACATGTAATTTCTTTAAGAGGAAAGTTCTAAATAAATCAGTAGTAGTGTTAACTTTCTGTACTTAAAAAGGCTGGTAATGATTCTGATAAAATGCAAAAGGCAACTATGTTTGTCCCTGGCAAACGTAATAATTCCTCATTTATTTTAATGAGATTGGTTCTGAACAGTTAACCTATTTGATTCTGTTGACTGATTACCTTAGTACTTTAGGGTCATTTGGTTTCTAAATGATATTTAATTTATAGCGGTCTTTGGGTTAAAAATGAATTCTCATTTATTTCCAAAATCTAATTCTATTTTGGGGGACTGTGTGGTGGGGTGCATCAGGATTGTGGAGGTGTTTGTGTTTCCATTATTATATTTTAGTTGAATTGGAGACAGGAGCAGTTTCAGACAGTGATTGTGATCAAGATGGGTGTTTGGTACCCCGGTGATTATTGAGGTGTCCTCTGGGACTCTGGCGGTCCATATTCCAGGAAGATCGAGGTTCTCGATCTTGGTGTGATGTGACCTATTGCTTGGCTGCTCCTCATCCTTGCTGTATTCTCAAAAAGCTCTTCCCAATGTAGGGAAAGTTGTGTTGATTTCAGCTTACTCAACTTGGCTGAAAAAGGAGAGCACAGTAAGTCTTTTTGACTTAACACAGAGTTATTTCAAATTGCCTTGATTCCCTCAAATGTGCTTATAGCCAGAGCACTTCTAGGAAGCCTCTGAATAATGCCCTTTTTTTTTTTCCTTGCCTTATGGCTATACTGGATGGCCTGTAATTTCTTTCAGTGAGGATTAGGTGTTCAGTGTCTGTGGAGACTTGCCACTTCAGAGCATCCCTCTAATTATTTAGCTACTTGTATTAGTGTTGTTTTTAGAAAGGAAAGGCAGTTAAGTAAGTACTTCATTTAAATTTGTACCTGGCATTGTGGGCAGACAAAAGCTATGCTAACCTTCAAGAACTTTTAGTACTTAGAGAAGATACAGTGTATTCATTTATAGTACAAGGCAAAATGTGCCATGCTGAGGTGCACGCAAGTGCTAGGCATATTTAGAAGTGAAAGAAATCCCTTGAAATGATGTAGGAAGGCTTCATGAACAAGGAGGCAGATTTTTTGCTTCATTTTGATGAATAAGTAAGAGGCATTCCTGTCATGAGAAACAAATAAGCAAAAGTGGCAAAGGACAAGAATGAGTTGAAACTGTTTAAACTGCAGACCATGATTCTTGTAGGAGATGGATAGATGGTAGGTTTGCAAAGATAGGCTGTAGGATTTTCTTTTCTTTCGTCTTTTTTTTTTTTTTTTAAGATTTTATTTATTTATTTGGCAGGCAGAGATCACAAGTAGTCAGAGAGGCAGGCAGAGAGAGAGAGGGATAAGCAGGCTCCTCTCCAAGCAGAGAGCCTGATGTAGGGCTCGACCCCAGGACCCTGACCTGAGCCGAAGGCAGAGGCGTAACCCACTAAGCCACCCAGGTGCCCCAGGCTGTAGGATTTTCTAACATAGGTTGAAAAGTGGGGTCTCTTTGTTAGCCACCTTGGGGTTTCCAGTGCATTTCTCTCCTTAGGAGAGGAATGAAGTTTCCTTTATTTGACAATTTCATTGTGGAGCTCAACAGTGACACATACTTTTTTTCACATAGTCTTGACAGGAATGATGTTGTTATCCAAAAACAGTATCTCTTTTAGGTAAACTCACTGGAGGCTATACTATATTCCATTGCACAAAATGTATTTTTGGAATTGCCTAAAATCAGTGGCATATGTATTCTTTGAACATCCTTAATATTGACAAATTTTCATCCTTAGAGGTTGCATTTGGTATTTGGAAACAGCTGGAAAGTATCTTTTGTGGCAAATAAAAGTATATGTTAAATAATGAGATTGGGTTTTTTTCCTGTTTTGCAAACTGGCTAATAAGCGCAGCAGAGAGGTTTGATTTGTTTTGATACGCCTCAGAATCTCTTTCTTTATGTCTACCCATCTGCTGTATGGAATCTGGATATTGGGTAGATGTGAATAAACAAAGCTGTAGTTTTTGTAGTTTCAGGTTAAAAACTTACCACCGTCACTACCCTCTAAATTACTCTGCGAACATTTAAAAAATTCTTTTACTGCTCCTTACAGTTGCACGTTGTTTTGGGGATAATTCCAATGTGAACTTTTAGTTCATTTTATTGTCTCTTGCATGCAGGAAGTATCCCAAGTACAGTGATCAATACCCTGAAGTTTTTCTTTTCTCAATTGAAATACAGTTTACATGCCATAAAATTCACCCTTTTAAAATATACAATTCAGTGATTTTAGTTTATTTGCTATATTGTTCAAACATCACTGTATAATTCCAGAACACTTTTCATTGCCGGAAAAAGAAACCCCAAACCCGTTAGCAGTCATTTCCCATTCCGTCTGCACCCGGACATTGGCATCCCCAGGCTGCTTTCTGTTTCTGTGGATTTGTCAACCTTCAGTATTTCATATAGATGTAATCATACAATACATCGTCTTTTGTGTCTGCCTTCTTAGCATGTTTTCAAGATTCATCCATGTTGTAGCATTTATCAGCACTTAGTGTTTTCATGGCTAAATAATACTGTATTGTATAGACATACTATGTTTTGTTTATCCATTAGTTGATGGGCATTTGGATTGTTTCCCTTTTTGCCTATTGGGATTACGTTGCTATGAACATTTGTTTTCACTTTTCTTGGATATATATACCTAAGAGAAATTGCTGGGTCACATGATAACTTTTAACTTTTTGAGGAAATGTTAAACTGTTTTCCAAAGCAGCTGCAGTATTTTATATTCCCACAAGCAATGAATGAGGATTCCATTCTCTACTCCCTTGCCAACATTTGTTATTGTCGATGTCTTTTTGATGGTAGCTGTTTTACTGGGTAGGTCTGAAGTGGTATCTCATTGTGGTTTTTATTTTCATTTCCCCAATGACCAGTGATGTTGAGCACTTTTTCACATGCTTTTTGGGGATTTGTGTATCTTCTTTGGAGAAATGTGTATTCAGATCCCTAACTAATTTTAAAATTGAGTTGTTTGTTTGTTTTTAAAGATTATTTATTTATTTATTTGATAGAGAATACAGGTAGGCAGAGAGGCAGGCAGAGAGAGAGGGAGAAGCAGGTTTCCTACTGAGCAGAGAGCCCGATGTGGGGCTCGATCCCAGGACCCTGAGATTATGACCTGAGCCAAAGGCAGAGGCTTCAACCTACTGAGCCACCCAGGAGCCCCTGAGTTATTTGTTTTTTTATTGTTGAGATGTGAGAGTATATTCTGGTCACTAGAACCACATCAGTGTATGATTTACAGATATTTTTCTTAAACTCTCAATTTAAAAATAATTACAGACCAGAA